CGTGCGAGCAGTAGCCTCACCACTCCCTTATGACCATACCTGAAAGCCAAGCTGAGTGGTGTTTCTCCATCCCCGTCTGGATTGTTGGGATTGACATCATCCCGTGAGAGCAGTAGCCCTACCACCTGTTCATTCCCCCACCGAACGGCCCACAGGAGTGGTGTAGAACCAGAATAATCTATTTGATTGATATCACAACCAGGCACATCTATCAAAGCAGCGACGAGCTCCGTGATTCCGGTGTAGGATGCAATGTGCAAACCAGAAAATCGGGGTTTGGAGAATAGCGATTGAAAGGGCCTAAGTTTTTTGAAAAGCACGGTAGCGGATATATGATCGCCATACCGGTTTAGTAGCTCCACAGCAAGAGATTTCGCGCGATCCGAGAGTTCGACTTTTGCGTGGGTCCCCCAATAGATGGAAGAATATTCAAGAAAGGGCATGTCTCCAGAGTATGAAACGTGATCTGCCGCAAGCCCTTTGACCTTCTTATAATTTAGGTAGGCCAAGCATGACTGCGCAAGAGTTTTGTGAGCGTCAGGAAGGATACCAGGGCAAGAAAGGTATTCTCGAAGTGTATAGTGAATCGGATCAACTATTGATGTCTTGCTAACTACAGCAAGCCCTAAGCAAGACCCTAGGACTGTATCTTGCGGCCGGATATTCTCCGGGTCTAGATCCGTCGACTCCAATTCTACCGCAAGAGCATGACGAAGTTCGTCAATCCGCAATGGCCGCTCCGAGTGGGATATCCACATCAGTACCTCCATCCCAAGTCTCGATCGGTCTCCCTTCTGCTCCCTTATCCGTTGCAGGGTTTGGCCATACACAATGTCCAGGTCCACCCCAATCGTCGCTGCTTTTCGCAGCATTTTCTTTCTCCCGGCTAACGAAGTCTCGCCCAAGATTGCACCAATATTTACTGCAACCAGCAGAAACCTGAACAGAATATCAATTAGTCATCCTAACCAGTAATAGAGTCCCTACTACTTACATTCCCGAAGCCTTTTCCAACATCGTTTTCACAATATCATTTTTCAGATCTTCTGTCATCAAGTCTGGGTCCTGGTCATTGTCATCATCAATCTTTCTGTTTATGTACCTAGTGATATCTCCTTGGTCAGGCACAATATTTATGATGTAGGCGCTCTTCGTGAGAGAGCTGTCAAGTTCCCTGCGAGCATACGGTCTGGCTGTAAGAAACAGCCGCACATTTGGTGCATCTCGAATAACTCGTCGTAAAGCACGAAGAAACTCCGGTCGATGCTGTCGCAGTACCTCATCAATTGCGTCAACGCAGATGAATACTCGTTGCATAGAGCTAATTATTCTAACGAATAATTTCACCATGTCGGGCAGTCGAAGACCTTTGCCACCTCTCTGCTTCGACTCGTCAAAAGCACTTTGAATCTCGCCCGGAATCCCTGCTGCTCCGAAAGCAACCTGCCTAAGTAGACCTCCTATCAGGTTTACCGCCGATTGGTCCCTCTGCACCCGGTGGTCGCAATAGAGTGATAAAATGGCGATATCCTTTCCCCGAGTTTGCTCGCACAGGGTGTCTACTACTAATGAACTGGTTTTATCACCTATTAGCACCACCTCTGACCACCAGGGAAGAAACTCGTACCTGATATATGTTTTGCCAACCCCTTGACCCCCATAGCACAGCAGGGTAGGCTCCACGGAGCCGCCATGAACCTTGCGCCACGACTTGTACTCATCCCTCTGTAAAACCCAATCCCCAACACCATCGAGCCGATGGTTGCTCACATCCTGATGCCTTTTATAAGGTTCGAGCGGTGATAGCCATTCTTGGATCTGCAAAAGCTCTTCCTTCACTCCTGCATTGATGGTGTTGTGATCACGGTTCACCACATTCCCAACACTCGCGGGCGAGGCCCCGTAAATACTGTTGGTCATATTATAATCAGTTCGGGGGGCATTCCACGTGGCATGCTGAGGGCGATAGCCGATACTTGATCCTCCAATAGGAAACGTATTCATCGCGGATAAGGTTCGGTACAGCGAGACGATATTTTTGGAGTATTGCAGTTACTGATGGAGTTGATGGACGCGCACCCGACGCGAGCAAAGCAAAGTGGGGGCCGCTTCCTTGGTGTTGCTGGGTGGCTGCTTCACGGGCGAGCGCCAGCCAACTACCGTACCGGTATTTCAATATCCAACAAATTCGGTAACTTACTAACCACACTCTCATATTCCCACGGCCTAAATACCGGTACCGTCAGAGAAGGTTTTTATCGACTACCGTACTCGAGTACTTTTACCGGTACTTGTAGCTACAGATGTCATTAGGGAGGTTTCAAGTCCTCAGTAAACCACATCACGAGTACACGGCAAACCGAGAACACAACACACCGCCCAAATCCTGGTGCACCGGCTCGAACGTCGCCCGTTTAAACTCCCAGCGAAGCCGGTATTCGCTTGATCCTCCCCACCTCAACTAAGCAAAATACCGGTAGGTTAGTTTCAACAGGGAGCGAGAAGTAAAATTCACTATTCCTCTATATTAAGTATACTGTACCATATATCTCCTTGCCAGAAGGTTCACCCCGCACTGTACCCCTCCAGAACATCCGTACCAGTACATTCCGTATATCATACCAAGAACTTCGAACCTCCCTACTAATTTACCCCAGGCACGTTCACCGGGTACATACCCATTCCTTCGGTTCGTTTCGCTATCTCACCGATTGAACCACACGTAGGGCCGAGAGCGCAGTCGCCTAACTCGCCCGATAAACAGGTAAAAAATGACGGACGGAAATGCTCGGGGGGGGGGGTCGGGGACGTGTGCACACTCCACGGCCAATGAGGGGAGAACTCTAGAGATACACTGCACCAGACTAAAGGGCTACCGGTACTCCCAACAGCGCCTACATCCACGGATAAATGCAGAGCAAGTACTCGCCAAAGCCAAAAGCCTATCCCGGGCCTTTGCCTATTCACAGCAAGCGGCTGCACTACCTAGCTTGCAAGGATTGCACTTACTTTTCATAACCTCAGCACCACTGGCGACCCAAGTTTCTAGGGACAACAGATTGACGAGCGATAGCAGGGCAGCCAGAGGATAGCGCCAATTGCCGCTCTGCTGCTGACGCCCAAACCCCAGAGACAGAGCTTTTATTCTGTCAAGTACTGTACGAGTATGATGCTACTCGTGAGGAACACCATCACGTGAAGAACCCTAGCGATCATATAAACTCACTCGTCTTTATATGACTAATCCAGGACAAGCTCACACAAGCAGAGTTGAGGCTCCGCAGATGACAGCAACAAGATTTAGCGCACCCGCATTCCGCCCCGCTATGGTACGGTAACCCACGACCTATGATACAGCTACCCCAACCCCAACTTTTAGGCTCCGGCTAGTCAACCCCCACCCAAAGACCAAGGATCTCTCCCCGCGGGAAAGGGAAATCTCCTGCGGGTAGACTCATCTTGCATTTACGAGTATAATACAGTACATCTTTCACTGCGCTTCATCCGCAAACAACAAACTCTGCGAAAGACTTATCATACAAATATGGAGTGATCCCTCGACGCGCCCCTCCTGCACTTTTACAACCCTGGGCTTTCTTCCAGAACGCGTAACGGGTGCGACCGCCGTTACTCGGAGCTCGAGACTATGTCCGGTGCCTTTCGGGGGGGCGGAGGTTGGTTGGTTGGTCAGTGTTTTTATCCAATGCATGTATCATATCGTAATATTATCACCATAATATCCTCAGGGTTGATACTAGGGCTCTGTGCCAGAATAAGCGGCGGTGGATTTCTCGAAAGATGATCGATGAGACCTTCCAAACCTACCGCATCCTCACCGGAGCGAATGGGGATGCAATGCATGGAATAGAATATACAGTACCGGGACAAAAGGGATCGTCCGATGCCCTTTTTCACACCAAAAATGGACATTTTTAAACGGACAATTCTCAACGCTGCTGATATGAAAGCACTTCAAATCATTTCATCAGCTAGGGAATGACCATCTATTCCAACCTCTACAAGTAGAAGTGTAAGGAATCAAAGCTGTCTTCATTGTTCACGATTGCATCAACCAGCCTGAAAGTGACCTAAATTTTTGTATGGGGCTCCATACAAAAAAGTACATGGCAACCGATGCCAGAAACTTAAACAGCCTTTTCTCCATCACTTTATAATATTTAAGGATTCTGTGATATTGTTCATGTTATCTACAGGTTTGCTAATGCATGGATAAACTTGCACAGGTTCTCATAGACATTGCGTGATGAGAGAGGGTGGTGAAAGATGGGCACTTTTGGTGTAAAAAGGGCATCGGACGATCCCTTTTGTCCTAGTACTTTATAATGCTGGCGGCGAGTACCCGAGTAGCGAACGGCTGCACAGCTAGAAAGTTGCACACCATATCCGAAGCTACTCGGGCAGCCCCAAGTCATGATATGATACCATCAGCCCGATCATACCCCCATAGCCCCAGAACCGAAATCAAAAAAACACGAAAAGGCAAAATAAATAACTGAATTCGGCTACAAGTAACTAACTGACCAAATAACTTACTTACATTACCCCCTTTCTCCTACCTCCCCCGCATCGATCAATAGTGCAGCAAGATAACGTAAAAGTGGCAAAAAATAAGAAAACGTTTGATGAAGGAAAGAGGGGGAAAAATGAGGAAAATAAATGAACCCATACACCATCCTTTATCACTCCCTCACAAGAAAGCAAGTATAAATCACAGACACAATCCCTTGAATGAAAATGAAGAATGGAGGGGAAGGGGAAATGAGGGAAACGGAAAGAAAAAACAGAATTCCAGACCCACCGGTTTGCAATGATGTTGAAAAGTGTTAGAGGTAGACGAAGTGAAAGCGAGATATAAAGATGAAAATGGAGGGTAAGAGGAAGGGAAATAACCGCAAGGAGTTTACTAGACTGGGCTAGACATGGGGTGATAATAATACATTCGGTCTTCGGGTGGACAGCACACAAACGAGCAATGAAAACTAAGAACTTCTCCTAACCCTCAAGCCAAACTCCTCCTTCGCCGCCATGCGCTTGATCTCCTCAACTTGCAAGTCCTCCTCGGCGAGAACCGGAGACACGCTCTTCCCGGACCCACCGCTGCCGCTCCGCCCACCGCTGGCCAACGCGGGAGATATCGATTTCGCGAACTTAGTTGTAGCTGGTGGAGAGATACAGTCTTCGTCTTCCTTCCGCTTAACAGTTTTGGTGGTCTTTGTGTATGTGACTTTTGGCTTTGGGGCGCGGTGGGTTAGGCGGGGGTAGTCTGCTTTCTTGCCGATTGAGGTTGTAGAGGTAGTGGTAGTAGCGGCCATAGTGGTGCCGTTTGTGGATGGGGTAGGATCTGTGAATGGGGTAGGATCCGTGGATGGTATAGGATCTGTGAATGGGGCAGGATCCGTGAATGGGGCAGGTTCCGTGACCGGGGTAGGATCCGTGGCCGGGGTTAGAATTTCGGGAGCGACGAAAGAGGAGGAAGTTGTTGGGGTAGGGAATACATTGGTGAGTGGGGCGGCGGTTGGTGAGGTGGTGGTCGGTGGAGGGGAGGGGGATGGGAGGGGGGGGGGATTGAGGATCGGTAGGCTTTGAGGGTTCTTCTAGGTCATCTAATGGGGGGGCCATTATCGATGGGTCTTCGGGGGTATGCGACACGCGGGGTTTATATGACATTGGCTCCTCGAGGATAGACAGGTCGAGCTCGAAGGAGTCTTTCTCAGCTGGCGGGGTGGCGGCCTTCGTTGGGGTCTTGATAATGCGGACCTCCGGGACAGGAAGACGGGATGAAGGCGGCTTGCTACTAACAACGATGATCTCCTCAAGGACTGGCTCTGTCTCTTCTGGCTCGGAGGTCTCCTCATCCGCAGCGGTAGAAGTGTTTCCGGCAGACGAATGTCTCCTCTGGACCGGGGGTTGGCGTGCTCCATCCCAGGAAGTTTTGGTTGCCTTGCCGAGCGAGAGACGCCCGCCGCCCTTCTTATGGCTCTTTGGCTTATCGGCCTTCTGTGCTCTCGTCGTCTGTCGCTCGATTGCCAAGTGCCAAGTGTCATGTGGGCACCTCGCCTATTTTTAGAGGTTAGCGCAAAATCCGGATAGAACGATCATTTCCAGCATACCTTCAATTCCTTGCACCTGTCACAGGATGGCTTCCGTCCTTGGAATCCGGGTGGGCGCCCGCCTGCCATGCTCTGAGTGCTGGGATTGAATGATCCTTCCCGCTCCACTTGCACCACTACCCGCTTCTTCTTTAGAGGAGGCTGTGAGGCCGCTTCTGCATCTTCCATAGATTCGTTTGCGTCGCTAGGTAATGCCCGCTTTAGAGCCGGAGTGGAAGGTTTTGCCTTGGGCGTGGGAGTCTTTCTCTCCTTTGGCGGCTTTGGCACGACAACCTGTACCTCGGTCATCTCCTTACGGTCAACCTCCCCAATGGGCGCCGGAGCAAGCACCGGCTCGACCCTCCGGCCTTCACGCTCGCCTCGGGCAGCCTTTGCTGCTCTATCGCTTGCCTCTAATCTTGCCAATAATTGCGCAATTTCGGACTTGTGTTTGCATCCGGTCTTCTTCAGCCTGCAGTTCTGGCATCCAGCCCTCGGAGGTCCCAGGTTGGATAGCTTGCGAACATAAGTACAGCCGTCGGACAATGTAAACGCCTCACCATCCTCCCCCTCGACCATAGTCATCTTCCGTTTGCCAACGGAGAGGTGATCGCCATCATCAAAGGCTGGTGGCGGCTGCGGCTTGTTGGGCGGCCGACCCCTCTTCCTTGTGCCCGGTGGAGCCTCAGGGCCATTCGCCCTCTTTTTTGGTCGCGGCTTGGAAGCCCCACCTTCCCCCTGCCCCACCTCAGATTCGGAGGAAACTGTGCTTTCAGCACGAATGGCTCGAACTCTGAGGCCTGGACGTCGAGGAGGCTCCGCTTTCCTCGCTTCCTCTTCGCGCGCTCTCTGAGCTCTCCGGAGGGCAGCCTGGCTAGGCCCTTTTTTCGGCCCGTCTTCGGGCCACCAGCTCTCCAAAGCCCATTCTGGGACCCTCTCACCGTTCGGAACAAGTCTCTGGCAGGCACGTTTCCAAACACACCAGCGGCCAAACCTCTTGATCCATTCCACAGGCTCCTGGCTAATCGGCGCAGGGATAGCCTTCTTTACCGCCTCTATCTGCTTCCCCGTCAAATTTGGCCTACGAGGTACCAACGAGGTAGTGATTGTGCCACACGAAACAAGCGCGGTCCGCAAAAGAAAATTGCACAGAGCGGGAAGTCCCTCCAATTCTTGCTGTGTGTATGTCCTGGCGGTCTTGGGGGACCGGTGTTTCGTCCGCTTCAAAATCCTCCCACGCCCGAGGGCCTCGTCAACCTCGTCGGAAATTGGATCCTTTACCATGTAGTTATATGCGAGATGCCACATGAGTGTGGTATACTTTGGATACCGCTGGCTCAACTTAGTATCAGTGACAACCTCGATTCGTTGTACCTTCATCTGCATCGCGTAATGGTTTCGCGTGAGGAAGTTGCCGCCGACGACCAGGCTATCTCTGGGGGTGTAGACTGCGTGTATCCAGCCAGACGGTATAAACATAGTATCTCCTTTGTTGAGAGTGACGAGGGTGCAAGGATCACTAGTCAGAGTGGGGAAGAAGGTCGTGTTCATGTTCGGGTCCATCGACCACTTCTCGTAAATCTCAAGATTTTGCTCCGTAGGCGGTATTACAAGGAAAACTTTCTCCCCCTCGTAGATGTGATAAAACACCGAGGACCCAGCAAAATCGATGTGGAAATCCGTGAAGGAGTCTGCAACAGACATAAGGACATACTTGCCGACGCGGGGCTTGGCTTCGGAGCCTATTGGAGGTGCTGGGTCAGGACGCCAAACTTTATCAGCCAAATCCAAATCCCTAGTCACCAGTGTTAGCACATGTCATTCAGAGCCCAAACTCATCTAACCTACCTCACAACTTGAGGCCTAGAGATCATGGTGCCCAATTCGGAATTCGAAACCTCACAGCTTATGCAATTATAGATTACGTCCCTCACGTCGCTCTCGAAATAATTGACGAGCTGTTCCATTTGCCATTTGTCATCCTTCTCAGTGGCTTGGCTAAGAACATTGATCATTTCAACACGAGCCGATTCACCAATTAGCTCGCCAACCCTGCGAACTGTCAAGCCAGGTGGAATGATCATATCCAGGTTGTCGGCTCCCGGGCGCCGTTGCTTAACATCGTATTCACCCTCACGAAGAGTTTGCTTCAAACGGTCAACCTCTGCAGGGTCAAAGTCCCCATTATCCAATGTCATCTCTGGCAATCGGTTCTCGGCCTTGGACAGGAGGCCGGGGGTCGCCGATCTATCAGCCGCGCTGTCATCGCAGGTGGCGAGAGGTGGGGGTGGTGGAGTGGCTATGAGGCTCGAATGCTCTTCAATCGGGGTTTGCGGTATAGCATTCTCAACCAAGTCCAGGGTGGTCGTCTTCGGGGGTGTAACCCACGGCGCAGGGTTCGATTCAGCCGGAACAATGAAAGGTTGATTCCACCCGTTAGGCAGGTCCTCAAGGAACTCGACAGTAACCTGTTCAGGGCGCATGCGAGGTAGCTTATCGTCGGCAAAAGTGAACGTACGATTCCGAATAATCTCAACATATGGATGTAGCTTTCCGTCAACTGGATTCTTAATCGGCGCGGAGGATCCATTGTGCAAGGCATTATAATCAATCGCAGTTGTTGGCCGGTTGGACTTCCGCTTCACTGCACATACTATGAGATGACTCAAATCTTCTAACAGGTCTGGTCGTGTACTTACTTGTGGAAGGCCCGCGTACTTCGGCACATCTTGAGCAGTAAAACTTGTCAATTTTGTTGACCATTTCATTATCAAGACCAACACAGCGAGAATGATGCCAAGTACCACAGCCGTCGCAACCTATCCAAGCAATCTGATCAAACCTGAACCCATGTCCATCCTGATACGGCCCAAGACAAGTTTCACACTTTTCGTCGCTGGGGTTTTCCGGCTCTCGTGGGGATTCCCCGGTGGGTGATAGAACCCGCAGTTGTTGGTACTCTGCACCATCCAGTTTGTCCCGCTCAGGATCCGAGGTGGTTGACTCGGATACTCGCAAGCTCACTCCGGCAGTTGGCTCTTCGGGACTAATCACTTCTGGAGGAATCCCGACCTCTACAGCGCCACCAGCGCCGAATACAGGCTCGTCGCCAGCCTGACACTAGAAATTAGTAAACTTCTTGTTAGGATACACAAATAGTCAAATTCCGAGGAAAGATCGCAGGAAAGAAAGATGAAAAGATGGGAAAAAGAACCAACCGCGTTCTCGACCTCATAGTCTATGCTTCCCTCTCGAATAGTGTTCAGCTCTTCAAGAGTTTCAGAAACAATAAGTGCCAAACTACGTTCGTTCGATTCCACTGGCTGACCTTCCATTGCGACACCGGCCTCTAGGCTCTGGGCCCCAGCACCGCCACTCGCAATTGCTGGGGGAATTAGGTCACCTTTATCCCGAGCAACTGAGGGCGAAGCAGTTGGTTCTGTGTCAATTATTATTTCACCCGGCTCTATAGCCCCGAGGTTAGTAAAGAGCCCAACGCAGACAATCCGAGCACAACATACCTCCAGTGTCCTCCGTGATGTCCATTTTATCTAGCTCGTTTCCTTTTTGGATATCAGGCGCGCGCTCCCACGAAACCAGAGCCACACCCTCCACCTCGTCCATATCTATCCCCGAGTATCAAACAATGTCAGCGCGCAAATACACCGAGAAGGTGCGAAAGCCAAGAGACCCAAGGGGAATGGTCCCATTCCGACACCACTCTGACATGCACTCACCCATAAAATCATCCTCAGGCGACTGCTCTCTCTTGCTAAGAATGGTACTGTTATCCTGTAGGGTCTCTGGTGCTGATACGGAGAAGCTTATATTAACATTACATGCCCAGATAGAAGTGGGCCACTAAGGTAAACATACCCGGGAGGGAAACTGTGTTAACGTTGCTAGTTGCAAGTGCTTCTAGGGCAGCAGGTGCGTGTTGGGCATCCAGCTCCTTGGTCGCTGTCATCCCAATCGTGGGCTCCACAGACCCACCGGCCAGCTGCTGTGAGACAGCAGTAAAATTCGCTTCTACGGAAGCTCCAACCAGGCGGATAGAGTATGGGACTGTATCGATGGAAATTTCGGTGGACACATTATCAATTTTCTCCAGTGACTGGTGCCCATTCAACTCTCCAGTCGGAAGCCCCGACTCGACTTCCGAACCAGAAGCCGGCCTGCAAGTTTCTTGTCCAAGAGCGTTAACTTGAGATTCAGTGCTCGGCTGAGTAGGCTCATCCACGCGTCTAGTCCCTATCTTACTCCCAGGGTGTAGTTCCGGGTAAACTCCAAAGACGCCGTTGCCTTTAATAACTGTAGATCCAGCGAAAGCTTCCGTGCCCTGAGGAGCCGTCACCGGTGTCGCAGGGCGAGACGGATAAGGTGAATAAGCTGGTGATGGACTTGGCGGTTCAGCCTCTGGTGGGTGGAAATACTGAGCCGCGGGGGAGCTCTGAAGAGGTGCCAAACGATGCTCCGAGGCAGGGCTCGAATTGACCCATCTAATATTACTTGAAGGTCGACCGCGTGCATACCCTCGATCACCGCGCGTAGACCTGGGGGTTCCCCTCACTGCAGCTTCGTCGCGTGCTGAGTTGTCCCCGGCTTTCTTCCTCCTCGTCCGTTTGGAGGTCCGTTTGGGGCTCCGATCCACCGAAACAGGAGGGTAAGCGAGTGGCGGTAAAGGCCCAGGCTTGTAGGGCGTGGATGGAGCTTCGGAGAGTTGGTTGGAGGATTCGCCGTTCGGGGCGCCATTAGGAACATTTACGGGGGACGAAATAGGCATAAGACTCGAGGTGGGAGGAGAGTAGGATGTAGAGGTCGATGCGATTGGGGCAGTAGCGAGCGTAGACGTGCGGGGAGTTGAGAAGATGGCAGGAGTGTAGGCAAGCGCGATGTCCGCAAAAGCTAGCATAGGGTTCGAACTCGCCTCGGCCGAGTACAGCGGAGGGGATGGAAAGGTATGCGCAGGTGCGGACATATTCGTAGGATGGTTGTACAGTGCTCTAGCATTAGAGGTGGGGGAACTGTTAAATGAGGAAGATTGGAAGAGTGGGAGCGGGGGGTAGGGCGCGTCTTTCGGGGCTGTAGGGCCTGGTATGGGCGAGAGGGGCTCAACAGCGTTCTGCGCAAACTCCGGTGGAGGGGTACGAAACCCAAAGCGCGAGCCGTAAGGTAATTCAACGGAATAGTTCTCCATCACTGGCGTTTCGGTCATCCGATAGGGGGGCGCGGTTGTGTGAATTGACGGTCAACCACGACCTCCGCTGATGAGCCGAACAAGCGACAAAGTGGAGCGGGACGAGAGTGACCAGGTTGGAGGCGCGGAGTCTCTTCTCTACCGTGAAGTGATTAACGAAGGAATTAGACAAGAGAGAAGGCCAAACGAAAGCAGAAACGAATGTGTATCTCAAGAAAGGGAGGCGCTAGGTTAGGAGGTGTGGCGGGTTGGGGAGATCAGTGGTGGGGGGATGAATGATGATGGGGGTGGTGTTGGTATTGGTGTGGTGGTGGTTGTAGCAGGTGTTTATGTTTGCAGGGAGGTTGAGCTAGAGTGGGAGTTTAGACGGGGGGAAGGGCGAGCGATTGTGCGAGCGGGACATGAAGAGGGAGGGGGAGTCTAAGTCGGACGGGGCACAATAGCGGGAGGGAGGAAGAGTCCGACTCTATGTCTGGGCATGCACAACTACCGTATACGTGCTGATTCCTGTATGTCTGGCGGGCGGAAGTGGGTGGATAGGAAGGCCAGCAGCGGAGCCAGAGTGGGCTTCAATGTAACTACGGTACAGTGCGGGCAGACCAGGCGTAACCCAGGGCAGAAAGGACAGCACGATTCTGGGAAAGCTAGGGATCTAAATGTATAGAAAAGCGGGAGGACACGAAACCGCTGCCCTCCATACACATATACATATATCCTTAGACGGCTTTTCATCGTTACTATTATCTCTATGATGGAATGCTAAGCTGTGCCCTACCAGAGACCCTCGATCTCGAGTCTTCTTTCGGTTGGCAAGAGAGAGAAAGGGAAAGCAGGTGCAGTTCCCGCTTATTCCAGTCTTCCCCTTACGGACTAGAGAGATATCCTTGATGGATGACTAATATGAGGCTCTTGATGGAACCCACCCTTGCACCTCTAAAAGCTTTGAGAAAAATGTCGGCTCTGGTCGTCATCCCTTATCTCTCCACCCTGAATCTGATCATCTGGAGGGGCAATTGGGTAGTGACCAACGCTGCCATGCGAAATCCTCGAGTATGATACTGATACTGGTATCATGCCGCACTGTACAGCACTCCCCCCTCCCTTCTCCCCCTCCCCCCTCCCATTCATCTTCCTTCTCCAGTATCGGTCCCTTTCTCCAGCTTCCTCCACATCGCCTCTTCCTTCCAACCACCATAATCCTTCACAACTCGTCCAACCCCCCGAGCCTATACCCTCTAGTCTCTCTCCACCTCAGCCTGAATCTCATTCTCGCATATCCGAAAAGGGCACGTTTTAAACAGATACGTATGTGGCCATCACCATCACTGCTGCTGCTGTGCTACTGCGGATTACCCTCTTCTTCCCACGATTCCCCCCTTTTATCCTATTTTCCCCGCTGCCCTATTTCCTCGCTATTTCATTCACCCTTCCCATTCATTCCTTACCCCACATCCAGAGAAATGATTCATCTCAAGAATTGAGGTTTGGCACGTTTCGGCTTAGGCTTTCATATCCACCACTGATTGATGGAGCCCAAATTTGCAATAGCAAAAAGACAATTCAGCGGCTTCGTTCGAATGCTAAATGTTCTACCGCGTTAACAAACTCACAAACTGCCTACGGTATCACAGCTTCACCCCACGCCCGCTTCTCCTCGCTTATCTCGAGATCTCGTCTCCCTCAATCCGGATCTGCCTCTCCACGAGCATTGTTCAAACCAAGTGCAATAATACCTGAGGCAATAACCAGTTACGATACCGTCCTTGGCGCTCGATACTCTTCCCAACTCAAAACACAGCTCTCGATCCCGATAGCAAAGGATTATTATTTTTTTTTTCTTTCGAAAATCAGACCCTACCTTCCTCACGTTTGCGCTCTCCCTCCATCCCCGCCTTCGTTCCGTTTCACCATCAAAATCCACTGTTTCGTACCTACCATGCTTGGCTGTATTTCAAACGAGCCCTTTCCCATGTTTTCCCTGATATCTCTCTCCTTTTCACCTTCATCTATATTCCTCTTCAGGTCGTAATTTGCTCCTGTTTGCCCAGCTGACATTTACTTGTAGCTGTTGGAGAAGAAGGTTGATCCTTTTCTCTGTCCGCTCGCTTCATTTACATTCTATTCTTTCTTTCTTTCTTTCTTTCTCTCTTCTTCTGTTCGCACTCTATCCACCTAGGAAAGCTTGCTAAGGATTGCAAGCACCAAAACAATTTAACCCCTCCCACCAAAAAATATCGCTTTTGGCATCCAGAGCCCCCCTATCCCAAAGCCATGCAAGCTGCCCACTGCGGCCCACCAGAATCCACTTCTTCCTATCCCTTCTCCCCGGCACCAACCCCCCAAAGCTCTTCGCTCCCCTCACCGCCTCTATCTTCTACCCTACGACAAACACATCCCCTCTCAACACCACTTCCCCCACCTGCCCCCAGCCATTCTGTTTGGCAATGCTGCTCGTGCAGACAGGTGTACCGTTTCTCCGCGGTCCGAAATCGCTGTCTTCTCTGCTCACACAGATTTTGTAAGCAGTGTCCGGATGAACACGACCACGATGGTTGGAACGTTTATATAAAATTCTGGACCTCTATCACCCCTTCATCGAGGAAGCCCCCAGGATTTCCCGGGGAAGTTGGGTGGGGAAACGAAGCTGTGTTCTGGAAACCCCTCCAGAGTTCGGTTGTTGTTGGAGGGGATGTTGACGAAGAAACGAGTTCCACTTCCTCTGAGATTCCCGAATCCACTATTGAGGAAAGAGAGGAGAGTGGCTGGACTTCCGATTGGCTTTTTGAAAGGCATGATGCGGCAGATATTGGAATGCAGGTTAAATTGGCCCCGTACACACTTCAACACCGATACTCACATCCTTATACGGAACAGTACCGATGCCCTACCACCCCATTTCAGGTACTAATGGAAAAGGAAAGCAGATCGCCCTCCTTAAGCACCGACATTGTTGATGTGGATAACGGAGGTGCCCAAAAAGATGTGGCCGGCGGGGCAATTATCGCCACATTTAGAGATCTTTCTTGAGGGCTTCTTTCCATCAAGGCCCGGGCGATATGGGCTTTACATCAACCCAACCAGGGCAAGTCAGGGTGGAAATTTTTATCCTTCTTAGCGTTGCATTAATTTAGTCTACTCTCTACTTATCACGGGCTAGTTCTCATAAGCTTATTACCTTGTAACGACCAATCGCCGGATAGCGGCGATACGCGAATGGCCCCGATTACTGGATACGGTATGAAACTAGGTTGGAGCATTGTCATAAGGTAGCCTGGTGCATGTGGCTTGCATTTGGAATTCCTGCGATTGATCAAACTGTTTTGTCCTTTAGCTTATAATACGTTTTGAATCACATAATAGTACATTTGAGGAGCTTCGCTAGCTATGTTGATAATAAATTTCAGCTACTTCTTTTATCTTTTATCCAATGGGCCCAATTCTTCCGCCGTAAACTCCACGATGAATGCTCCTCTTTCCGGATGACTTTCGCCAGTACTCCAGAGACACTGCTCTGTGGTATCCTGCACCCCTGTAATAATAACAAAAAAGGCAACCACGGACAAAACCACCACCGCCAAGCCTCTTGCGGCTTAAAATTATCCCTCCACCCCACCACACCAGTCCATCCATCATCCCACCAATTCCTTCAACCGATCGGTCAATAGTCCCCGCCAAAGCCGGCGAGTTGAGGAGGGAAAACATGCTAGAACTCCATATCTGGGGTCCCTCCTTCACCCTGCCCTCAATTTCCCCTCAATCGCTCTCCACAATCGCCTATCTAAGGTTGACCCAACCGCCCACCACCTGGACCCTGATCCCCAGCAGCAACCCCCTCCTCTCCCCGAGCCGCGAGTTGCCAGCGCTGCGCGATGGTGCAACCTGGGTTTCTGGCTTCCGTGGGGTAATAGAGTACCTCTACTGCAAAAACGACTCGGGTTTAGACGATGCACTGGACGGAGCGCAGAGGGCAGAGGCGTTTGCGTTCGGAAGGTACATTGAGAGCGAAGGCGGGAGGCTCCTGGACCTATCAATGTATCTGACCGACGGGAACTTTGATGTCCTGAGAGGAGTGTTTGCCAAATTACTGCCCGTGCCCGCGAGGTATTACTTTCCCGGGGTTTTACGGCGGGAGGCGAGGAGGAGATGCGATGGTTTGATTCCTGTCACTTCCTCTGCGAGTGCTTCAGGTGCTGCTAAGCCGCTTCCCCAACCTACGGCAATGACGGCTACGGCTTTACCCGGGGCCAAGGAGCAGATTTCGGCGAAGGGCGCGGCAGAGAGGATCAAGCAGGTAGCGGTTGCAACGGGCTTTCTCCAGACAATTCAATCCCTCCTAGGCGAGGGGAGGTTCATTTTCGGTGACAAACCGAGTTCACTAGATTGTCTAGCCGTTGGGTACCTATCGCTCGGGCTATATGCGGAATTACCGAATGGGTGGTTGAGAGAGGAGATGGTTGCTCGACATGGCAGATTATGTAGCTATGTCAATGAGGTTCGGGGGCGGATGCTCGGTGATGGTGTTGATGTTACGGCGGTAATGTCTGGACAAGCGACGATGACAACGCCGTCCGGGAAACTTGCGGGGGGGGGATTACCATGGGAGACAGTTGAGCGCAAAGACGTACCCTGGGTTACGGGGCTTTTGCTCAATAGAGCGATGGAAATCGTTGGAATTACTTGTACGGAAAGATATGGAGATGGGGGAGACAGGGAGGAGAAGACGGAGCAGATGGAAGGGCGCAGGATAGAAGCGAGGAGGTTGCAGAGGTGGGAGACTGCGAGGAACGTGGCTGCGGTGGTTGGATGTGTTGGCGCGTTTATCGGGTATTGTGTGTGGAGCGGGTCGATTGCGATGGAGTTTGGTGGGAAGGGGAAATATGAAGTCGCTGGAGGCATGGGTGGGGGTGAGGGCGATGATGATGTTGAGAACAAGATGGGATTATTGGAGGGGTTCGGATCTGCCGAGTCTATCCTGGGCCTTGGTGGCAGAGGAACATTCGGCCCCAGAGGAGAGGACGGGAGAGATGAGGTTATCGAGTAGGGGTTTGTTCGCGGTGTGGAGGGGAAAAGGGAGGAGGGGTTCAGGAGGAGAATTGTGATGGTGAATCGCTGGCGTAATTGGAGGGAACTCATACATGTAAATCTCTGTTTTGTAAAATACCTCTGCTACGATGCCGCCAATAGCATCCTACTCCTATGATATGATACTAGACAAATTTTCAACCTCCGAACCCGTCACGGAATTTCACTCGAAGTTGACTCTGTCGAGGCTTGAATCTAGGTTACCGTTTACGGAAGCATGAGATGATACGCGCGTTGTAAGAGTACCTAATCCGGAACCTAATCCGGAACCTCAAGCCACTATCGAGCCGCACAAGCAACCAGCTCAAATCCCTTGGATAGGAAGTTCAACGACCAGGAAATCTTGAAGAGGGAGAAAGTGTGCGTTTTACCCTATCAACCAGCGTATCGAGCGAATAAACCAGTGGAGAATAACCGTTTCGAGCGCGGCACGCACCGTGAGATTCTTTTGCCGCTCCCTCCCCCTCAACACCCCTCTCTCCAACACCCCGTCCGCCAAAGATGATAAACTGGTATCGCACTGCCCTGACCAAACGTCCCGTCCTAACCCAATGCCTCTCAACATCCTTCCTCTTCGCTGCCGGCGACGTAATCGCCCAGCAAGCCGTCGAGCAGCGGCACGGCGACGGTCCTCGAACGCACAACCCGTACCGCACTCTGCGCATGGCCATCTACGGTGGCGGCATATTCGGCCCCCTCGTAGTGAACTGGTACAAATTCCTGCAGACGGCAGTGCGCATCCCCGCCTCACCTCGCTTGGAGATCGTGTCGCGTGTGGCGCTGGACCAGACGGTGTTCACACCCGTTCACCTCACGCTCTTCTTCTCCAGCATGGCCACGATGGAGGGGCTCATGGGTGATGACGGGAGGGAGGTGGGGACGGGGGAGAGGGTCAGGAAGAAGCTGGGGGACAATTGGCTGCAGGGGTTGAAGGCGAATTGGACGGTCTGGCCGGGGGTCCAGTTGGTGAATTTTGGGTTCGTGCCGCTGGAGCATAGGGTTCTGGTGGTCAACCTTGTGAGTCTTGGTGAGTGCTGCTGCGCATGCGTATCATGGGATAGATGGATGGAGCGAGTGCTGATGGTGTGTCGGTTAGGATGGAACTCGTATCTGAGCTACTTGAATCAGCAGGGGAAGAAGGGTGGGAAGAAGGATGGAGAGAAGGAAGTGCTGTGATGGGTGGATGGAAGGGTAGACTTACTCGCACTTGGGAGGATGGGTTCGCACACCGGCTTGGTATGATAGGGTAGGCGCAATGGATGGCAGGAGCAAAGTTTAAGGTATCCTAGAGCATAGATTCCCTTCACACTCGACCGGTAGAATAAAACACTATGATATACTTTCCATCCGATGAACATCCCCCCCCCCCAATCACGTTATCCCTCCTATGTGTGACCACTCTTTGGGCTACCGTACGGTGCCCGTACCACAAGTGCAGGTATAATACCACCGAGCACGATACAAAGAAACCCAAACACACCATACCGATTCACGGCACCCAAGGGCCCAGAAGCAAGAAGTAAAGATTCCGCAAGCCCAGCTCGAGTTTAACCCGACCAATCTAACGAAGTGTAAATTAACCACGGAAAGATAAAATCTTGGCATTTTTCCTTTTCTTTCCTTCCCCCTTTCTTTCTTCCTTTCACGATATTCCTGCATTGGCCGAGAGACTAGTAGCCAATGGGGACAGGTTCGCTTCACTCAGTCTACTAGTACAAGTACTAGTATAGCAAATTTACCCGTCCCCTCCACGCCAAGATTTGCGCCTGGGAATAAATCTTATAAGTTACAAGTGGCTACGGGTGCGATACCCATAAACAGTATAGTGCGGCGGAAGGCTGGGGAGGAAGTGCATGCACAGCCACAAGCTACATACAGAGTGCAAGAATTGTTTTCTTTTTTTCTTCTTCTTCTGGTGGCGTGGGTGAGGAGTTTTGTTACTTAAATTACTGTTTGTAATATTATCTCTTGGATTCGAGGGAGGTGGGGGGTTTTCGTACGAGTACCGTACAGTGCTGTGTTGGAGGGAGTGGGTACTTATCGCGAGATTATTTTTCGATACTGTGGATGCTGCGGTGTTATACAGGAGTTTGTTCGTTTGTCCTATCATACATACGTGGGATAGACAACGACCCCCGCCAGAGACTGGTATTTTGTGCCTACCGTTTTGAGGTCGTTAGAGGGGTCCAAATAGACTCTACTCAAGTTACGCTATCAGGCTTTTTATAGGTGCAAGTATATGTGCTGGATACTGTACCCCAGAAGAGGCGTGCATTCCTGCTCGAGTAACGCTGAGGCAACCGCACCAAACTATGATCATATCCGGTCCGGCAGGAATAACACCTCAAAAATTCCCACCCAGAACTTTTTTTTTTTTTGATTCCTATACGAGTATAGTTGGACACGTTACTTCTACCATAAATAGTTAGTTTATCATAGCCTTCCCGCATTTATCCTAGCCATTCGCTATTTGCTATTTGCTATTTGCTAGTTCAATGGATTCCGTAAAGTGCCGTACAATAATAACCAATAATCCTGATGCGTAATTTGCTTAGTGGTGCGGCGGATCGATCGGTTCTTCACACAGCCACCACCATCATGCTAAGATTCTATCATAGGTTCTCACTCGAAACTGTGCCTTTGGCCTTGGGCTGATGGGGTTGTTGGTATGACTGGATACATATGCGGTCCTCGCGTGCTGGGGAATGGTCAGCCCCAGTGCCTGCGCGAGAGTTTTGGGCGAGGTGGGGGGGGTGGTATTACAGGCGGTATGGTATAGTATAGTGAGTGCTGTATATAATATAAAAAGGAAATGGTATCATAGAGCATTTTTCCTTTGTCGTGAATTGGCTTTGTTGGTTAGTCTGTTGGTCGAGTTATTGCTATCATAATTATATATCATACCCCGGAGGATAATATCGTAACCTCCCATAATGCAAAAAATACACAAGAGTTTCGACATAGCGATACCCCTCCTGTTGTCTTTCTTGGTACCCTCTACTCTACTCTATTCCGATCCACTGGCACCTTATTGACCAAAACTCGGCACAGATCTGCACCACCACAGCAACGGACGAAAGTCCAACCCACATCGCCAACCAATCCATCTCCGCAACGGCAGCGGCGGGGAATTTCAATGCCAGTTACCACCACAGCGATGACAGTACTGTTCCCCACCTCCCACACTTTCCACGGCGTGACTAACGCAGCGCAGCGATAACACCCGGCAGAGCCGCAGGAATCGGGGTCGGGAGCATGGTGTTTGGGATGATTGTTGGTTGCGTTATTGTGTCCTGCTGGAGGAGTGAGAGGGGTAATTGCTGGCGCAGAAGAAGGGAGCGGAAGAATCGCGGGGAGTATTGGGATCGTTTTGGGGAGTGTGGCGGGTGTGATGGGTGTTGCGGCGGTGGGGGGTGTGGGGGGTGCTCGTGTTAATGTACAGTATAGAATTTATGGTGTCCGTATAGTATCATACTTTGATTGGAAATTTCACAGGATTTTTAGGAAGGACGGATGGATTGCCTTTTCCATGGGGTTTTCGGGGGTGTGATGTTGCGGTTGAGAGTTCGGGGAGCCAGTACGTGGTGTTTCGCGGTGTTGGGCTTCGGATTTAGAGGCGGGATGGGTTTGCGTGGTGGTCTGCTAAGTGCTGTACTGTACGGAGGTTACTGTACTACACTGTGCTTGGGGCTGCTAGAAACTACCGTACTGTTGATATGATACCTTGTGCTCGAGTATGATGGATACGGTGGGAGATACACCAACGGTATTCAAAGTTAAAAAAAGAATACCTCCCCGTGACAAGTAAAATGCAAGAAGTTGCATACGGTAGGTTACTTTATTGTGTTAGCCAGTAACATTCCCACCTCCGGTGGGATATGATAGCATAATTGAGTGCACTAGCGTGACCAGAAGGTAAAAAAGTGCGCAGGTTACATCAATGAAGGTCTCAGAACCAAACTAATATTTTCAGTACTCGAGTAGAGATACTGGGTGAGTTAATTACTTTCGGTACGGGTTGTAACCTTTTCCTCATTTTTTTCCCCCATCACTTCATTCACGACTTTTGAGCTCCGGTGTGGTGGTTATTACCATAGTATTAAACCAAAGAAGGTTCAGTGCGAGATAGACTAATGGAAATCAAGCCTTCCGACCGACCGCAAATATGACAAACTTCAAACTGCTTCCGAGTTAACAACCACAGCCCGTAAGCTTAAGAAGGCTTCTGAAAAGTGTCGATTCCGCGACTGCCCAAGGAATTGGAGAGATTTAAAAAGATAGCGGGTTGGCTGATTTTTGTATGGAGATACAAGTGCCAGGGATAATGTTTTCGCACAGTTAATTTAGGTTAACCCGCAGAATAATCCCTGTCTTGTACGAAAACATCTCCCCTGGCACTTGTAACGGGTTAGCACATTCCAAGCTAACTTTAATAGGCAATCCCTTGGCAACCCAATACCTAACGCGGTAGCGATCCTACCGATCATTGCTCCTTGTGAGTTAATTTGGTCCGGTTGGAAAAGTAATTGTCTGGTTAATAATACACGGCCTTGAATTCGCACAATGTGGATTTCAGGTCCGCCACAATACCGGTTTTTTTGACTTTTTTTTTTAGCTCTGAAAACCCCCACTACTGTACTCGGGCTGTGCGAATGCTGGTGTTAGAGGGAAGTGAAGCGAAGGGGGTGTGATTGGCTCGCGGGCCACTTGGGGCCACTGGGCCATTCAGCAAGCGGTATGATATATCCTTGAGCCGCTGCGGTAGGAGCACCGGGTTTTGGTCGGTGAGGGATGAAATCAACTCAGTTGTGCCCGCCTCCTAGTACCGTGGGTACTGTATCATACCGGTGCTCGTACATGACAAACCCCCACTTCACTCCTTCCACTTTAGGCTCCTTCATCGTCGTTACCGCGGTACTTGCACATGGTGGAGAGTGGGAGCGAATTATGTCAAAATGCTCTCTGCGGTTTTCTTCTTCTTTTGATTTTCTTTTCCCTTTTCTCTTCATCTTCCGTTTCGACGATACCGAACCTGTGAATTCGGGCTGAAAAGAGGTACCGTAGTGTGAAGTGCGGTGCTGCTGTATCCAGGTTAACTTATTTCTTGGGCTTCTCGCCTCAAAATTTTCTCTCCGGTAGTGTTAGGCGTTGATTGGGATCCCCGGTTTTCTACTGCTGCTACGTTTTAGTTTATGGTGTAGTCACTGGACGGGGGTCTTGGTTGAAGGGGGTGTCACTTTTCTAGGGATTACCGATGCGGCGCAATACTCGTACAAGTACTGTGGAGCAAGTAGTGGCGTACCGGCATTGCGCGATTGGTGATCTGTGTCGCGAGAGGGGCCCGTTCAAGGGCGAAAGAGAATCCCCATTTCACCCCGACTCCAGACTCGTGGCTGTTTCATGACCCTTTCGACTTCCTCACCCGGCTCGCTTCCTAGCGTCACAAAATACCGGTGCTGCACAAGTGCGGTACTCGAGTACTCGTACTTGTTTCTGGCGTAGAGCACTTAGGCTATTGCCAGGTACGGGTATCATACGTGCTGGAGGTATATCATAGGTTATTCAACTTTCTTAGCTGGAAATTGATGTCTGCATATTTTCTGGTTTGGTTTAGTTTGCCTTTTGCGCTGCGAGGTACGAGTAGAGGCCTTGTTGTTGCCCCCGGTGGACAGGGGTGCGGTTTGGCAGGGGTCGGGAAGTGCTTGTTTTTGGCTGTGTGGAAGCGTGCCGATTGACCCTGTTTGGTCTGTAGGTTACTGCTGGTGCGGACCGTGAGGTACGGCACAGTACTAGTACAAGCACTGGTACTCGTTCGCTTTCGAGCACTCGCAATGAGGTTGACTGGGGGAGCTTATCGTCGATTCCTGGCCCACTTATCATACTGTACCAGTACGGTACACCAGTTATCGCGCACCCCCAGAGCGGCAGAGCCTCCTCCCTCCCACCCGTTTATACTCGACACCGTTGCGCCACACACCATCGTGATGAGAACTCACAATCTTATCTTATATAATAACATCATCACATCACAATTACCATGTCATACGGTAAATTTAAGTCAAGTCACTCGTAAATCGCCTCGAGTCTTCACCTGTTGGCGCCAAGAAAAAGGGTTATCCCCCGTTGCATCCAGCCATCCGTGCTGCGGGGGTGCTGTTGAGTGTCGGGTTGGGTAAGGTTAGGCTGTTTTCGTGTTATGCTCCCGCCATCTACTTTTCTCCCGTGGATCTCGGGCCTTTGTCGCCGCCTCCGCTGCTTTTCCTCTTCCTCTCCTCCTCCCCTTCTTCCTCCCGACTCTCTTTCTAGCTGCCCGACACTTGTACCGATCTCCTCGACCTACGCCTTGGTTGGGGGAATTGATCGTTTGGGGTTAAGGCTTTTCACCTTCTATTCCTATATTGTCTCTTGTTTGTGGCCCTTTCCTCGCTTGAATTCTCCTACTTCGATCGGGTCCGAAATTGGGGGAAAAGCTTATTATTCGGCGAGTGGGTTTTACATCATGAAGTATGCTTTTTTTTTCTTTTCCTTTCCGACATTCTAGCTCCATTTTGCTTCCCCGCTTTGTACGAGTGCTATCACTAAGCCTTCGTCCGGTTAGGTTCGGTCAGCAGCTTCGAACGTCTTTGATCAAAGGTTTGCTTTGTTCCTCCTCCTCCCGGAAAACATTCTTCCTTCCGCTGCAATTGCTCACACTCCCCTTCCGCAGACTACTACTACTACTACATCTCCTACGATGACTTGAAATTCGAGCTCAAGTCCCGCCTCTACCCACCGGGCACCGACCCCGCCGTCTCCACACCGAGGAAATGGACGGAGGATGACGAGAAGGCCTTCGTTGAGGTCCTGGAAACGGAACTGGACAAGGTTTTCACCTTCCAAAAGGTCAAGTCCGGGGAGATCGTTCGGAGGATCAAGGTTTCCGAGAAGGAGGTCGAGGACGTCGTCAAGCAGCTGGACTCGCGACCCCCCGCACGCAGGGAGAATCAGGCCGCGGCCGGCGCTGGCGAGGGGAGGGCGGGGGAGGCTCCGACCGGTCCGACCGAGGAGGATTTTGAGATGCTCGAGGAGGACTTGAGTGATATTATCGCCGATGTTCACGACTTGGCCAAGTTTACGCAATTGAATTATACCGGTTTCCAGAAGATTATCAAGAAGCATGATGTGAGAATTTTTTCATCTCTTTTTTTCATTTTCATTTTCGCTTCTTTTCCTTCCCTCTATCTTTTTTTCCGGGATGGGACCCCCTAATGAGGTTGATATCAGAAACAAACCGGGTGGCCACTTAGGCCGATTTTCTTGGCGAGACTCAATGCGAAGCCCTTCTTCAAGGACAACTATGACGCTTTTATCGTTAAGCTTTCGAAATTGTACGATCTGGTGAGGACCAGGGGGAACCCGACTCAGGGTGATAGTAGTGCTGGGGGCTCTCAGCAGAACTTTATCAGGCAGACGACAAAGTACTGGGTTCACCCGGATAATATTACCGAGTTGAAATTGATCATCCTAAAGGTATGGCGTGGAATGAATGGGTCGATTTATCCGGATAGTGCTGATTGCGTCTGGATAGCATCTGCCGGTGCTCGTGTTCAACCCGAATAAGGAGTTTGAGAAGCAGGATTCCGCAATCTCGTCAATCTATTACGATAACCGGGACTTCGAACTCTACCTCGGCCGTCTACGCAAGGATGAGGGTGCGGAGGCAATTCGTCTTCGGTGGTACGGTGGGATGGACGTTTCGACTATTTTTCTGGAGCGAAAGACTCACCGCGAGGATTGGACTGGAGAGAAGAGTGTCAAAGCACGGTTTGCGCTGAAGGAAAAGAACGTCAATGCCTTCCTCAAGGGTGAGTATACCGTTGGACAGGCCTTTGAGAAGATGCGAAAGGAAGGGAAGAAGAGCGTCAAGGAGATTGAAGCGTTGGAAGCTTTGGCGAGGGAGGTGCAGTACACTACCATCACCAAGGAATTGACGCCCGCTGTGAGGTCGTTTTATAATCGTACCGCGTTCCAGCTGCCGGGCGATGCTCGGGTGCGCATCTCGCTCGATACGGAGCTGTCCTTGATCCGTGAGGACAATTGGGATGGGACCAAGCGCTCTGGGGATAATTGGAGGCGAATGGATATTGGGATCGATTGGCCGTTCAATCAACTTCCCGCTAGAGATATTGAGCGTTTCCCATACGCCGTTCTGGAGGTTAAGCTGCAGACTCAGGCTGGTCAGGAGCCTCCAGAGTGGGTTCGAGAACTCACCTCCTCCCATCTTGTCGAAGCGGTCCCCAAATTCTCCAAGTTCATTCACGGGACGGCAACCCTGTTCCCTGACAAGATTGACTTGCTTCCTTTCTGGCTACCCCAGATGCAAATTGACATCAGGAAGCCCACAACTCATAGGTTTGGAATTGAAAGGCCGAATCAGATTGGTAGCGGTTCTTCGGATGATCCTTTTGACTCTGACGACGATGCCAGCGATGTTGAAGAGTCGCGTCCGCCTCGTGATCCCTCGCAAAGATTGATTGGCGCTCGGGAGCCGATGAATGAGGCCGACCGCGTTGAGAGGACTAATGGTGGAGGTGGGCCCAGAGGTATTCAAGATGAGGAGGAGCGTGCAGGAGATGCTGCTCCTGGAGAGGAGTATCCGCTCTACGATAGTGAAGATGATGACTCTGAAGATGAAACTGGGAGGAGAAATTGGGCGAGGAGGAAGAGCTTAGGGAAGAGGGTTAAAGGGGCTGCCGGAAAGGTCTTGAGCGGCCTGGGGGCTGTGGCTAGGCGAAACACCGCTACCACCCCCATAAATCCCCAAGCTCCCGTCCTAGGAATGACATATGCTCGAAAGTTTAAGGCACCTCCGGGCAAACGTAACCCCCCTTCGCCTACCACTCCTCCAGACACCATTGCTAACCGCTTCACGACAGGTATCTTCGTTCCCGTTCGCGTCGAGCCAAAAGTCTACTTTGCCGCGGAGCGTACTTTCCTCTCGTGGTTTGAGTTCTCAATCTACCTAGGTGCGATCGCAGGCACGCTCCTTAATTTCGGCGACAGACTGTCGATATACTCTGCCTGGGGCTTTACCGTTGTAGCCGTCTTGGCTCTCTCATATAGTATGGGACTTTACCTTTGGCGCGTGGATAAGATTAGCAAGAGGCGGGCTGTGCGGTATCATGACAAGTATGGACCCACGGCGTTGTGTGGGCTTTTGCTGGTGGCGGTGGGGTTGAACTTTTGGTTTAGGTATGGAGAATTGGCTTAGGTTGGATGTATGTTGAGACGGGGACATGGTGAGGTTGTTTGATAGCTGTGGATGGGGAGAGGGAGCGATGGGTCATGTCTATCTGGGATTGATGCTTTGTAGTAATGGTAGTGTTTTTCCTCCCTTTTTTCCCCTTTATTTACCGTTTTTATTTTTTCGTTTCGTTTCATTTCATTTCGTTTCTCTCTTGAGGTAGTGTTGGTTTCTTGTATACCCGTGAATTGATTGATTGATTGATTGATTGGCTGATGAGATGGGGTGAAATTGGGCGGATGGGTGGTACGTGTTGAGTAACTTAGAGCCAAGACGAAGTTGGGTGAACTCTTGATTTTCACTGTAACTACTGGAACTGCCATAACCGGTACTCCAGTACTTCATCCCCATAAAATTACCATCCCAAGACATTCCACCCGTAGTGCACTTGTCTCAAGGCACCTCTCCCATTCCTGTCTAGTACAGTACCTCAAACCACTGACCCCTCCTCAACCTACGCACTGTGACTACAGTACTCACCCAGAAACACCCTACTCAAAACCACTAACTAACGACCAACCCTCATCGCGCCTATGCAAGGGGGGGAGGCTATCACACTAGCATAGCGCTCTTTCGCACCGCAGGGTCCAAGTAGCACCATGCCAAGAATATCGAGTGATAAATCATGAACATTGAGGAGGGGTGTGTGGGCTGTCTGATCCTGCATAGTCCACCACCAATATGTCCGTGAGTGGTTATCAGGAGTGGAGGGGCGGGGTTTTTGGGATCTTGAGTAAGGTACTCGGGAGTGTGATACTCTGATATAGTTCTTGGACAAAAGGGCGTCGTCGATGGGCCCAAGTATGATACCAGTGGAAGCACACCGGAGTACCGGACGTTTGGACTCTCGAAAATCACCATTTGCAACCCCCACTACTGATTCAAATTAAATGAAACCAGAGGTCGTATTATATCAACAGGTAGGCTAACACAAACTGGAGTTTCTGAAATCTATATTTTCGTGACAAATTCCTTTTTCCTCCGTGGATGGAATTTTGCCAATCGGCACAAACCGGTTCTGGGAACTTGGGAACTTGAGTTGGGCGGTGGGGATTTTTGAGTGGGCCCATCGAATACAAAAAGGTCTGATGCATTTTTTTTTCTTTCAACATGGCGGGTTTGGGATTATATTGTCCCTCGCTCGATATTTCTGCGTATAGTGCCTTTCGGTGTCCTGATTTACAAATGCTGATACCAAAAAAATGCAAGAAAAAACTGAACTGCGGTACTAGTTTTCGGAGAATTGATTTTTTTGTAGAGTAGGTGGTTGGGTTCTGATTTTTTGAGAAGAAAAATGACGCTTTCGGTGCTGTGTGAGGGTGGTTCGACAACTATTACTTTTATCGGGGTACTGTACAGTACAGGTATGATATCAATTCCATTTTTAGAAAGGGGGAGTAAGGAAGAAAAAGAGGTAGTGGAGGGTTGACATTTGCACTTTGCCTACGGGGGTTGGTTGGTATTATGTGTGGGATTTCGGATTTTTGATTCTTTTTTTTTGATTCTGCAGTTCTTTAGGGGGGGGGGAGAGGGGTGCTCATTTGATTGGATTGTGTGATATGGCCTGGTATATTCCCACACTTGGATTATGGATTGAGTGGTATTAATTACCCGCATCCCCCAGGCACAGATTAGCGATTGGACTTGACTTCACGGAGTATTAGAAGGGGAGATCTTCGCATCTGTATTCTTCCATGTCCGAGTGGAAGTTAGTTAGTAGGGAGGGGGGGTATCATAGGAGCAGTGAGAATTTTTATATATCTAGATTTCGGTTTTTAGTCTTGACAATGTCAGGTCTACGCTAGGTTTTGCTTTATTACTTTTTTCGTTTCATCCGTCTTGAGCCTAGTGGGGAATCTCTTATTTGTCCTGTCCTATCCTGTGATGGGCTTGCGCGGTGAGGTGGGTTTACGGTGATGCGTACAGTATAGTAACAGGGTCTAGACCCGGCATAGGGCGGCTTCCAGAGAATGCATCGGTGAAGGGGATCATGAATATCTTTGTATTGGCGACGATTGATAAAGCATGGTGAAATAGCATCTCCTCTATGAGATTATGACGCTTCCCTTCTGGCCTTCATGGGTGTTTTTGGGTAACTCCTTTTGGGGGGGATAGTGTCCTCGAGTACATTTCTGTGGCCTAAATCTTCCCTGATTGAGATTTTGCCATTGCTTTGCAGAAGTGATTGATTACTGGAATTTGATTGGAGTCAGCGCTAGTAAAGGTTAGCTAGAATATGAATAGAGATAGCGTAGTAGTGCTCAGTGCCGTTCTGTTATAGTCACCTCCACTTTGTAGACTCTAGGGGACGCAGGGTACTGAGAAACCATCGCTATTCTAGTGGGAACAGGGCTTGAAAATTTCTTCGGTTACTTTATAAAATCTTAGTGGATGGGGGTTGGGTCCTGCAGGTATGATAGGTTCATGATGAGAGAGTGGGTATAGTGCTTTCTTGGATGTACAGTACGAGTACGTACAGTACAAGCTGTGTTGCACAACTCTCATAATCTTAGACGGGTGAGGCAAGCGCCAAGTGGGAAGTTGTGTCATGCTCACAAGGCTTCGCGACGGGAATCTTGGTGGGCAGGTATGATATCGCTTTAAGAGTGTGCCCACTTTGCAGGTATGATATGCTGGTAGGCCAGCCACCGACCAAAGCTCCGAAACACCGCATATCACTCGGGGTCGTCGATTGGATAGAGTTGTGAAGCTTCATTAGAACGGCACGCTTGTTTCACTGCTCAACTTACGTTCAGCCCCGTCTAGAGTACGGTATGATATCTGATTTAGCACTATGATACCATAAGAACTCGAGTTGAAGCTGCATATGCTGTACCGGTACCGCGACTTTAGAATTTCCTTTCCCAACTATCCACGAGGAAAACTCCGAAACCCACCCTAGCTAAGGGATATACTCGATGACTCGTGAGGAGGGGTGACAGCAGTGCCCTGGAACACATTTATCCTATTATGTTTGGGTTTTTACGATAGCCTAGTTAGAAAGGGCCTAGCTTAGTTAATGGGATATTCTGCTGGCTACGTAAGCTTCCGTACTTGGGTGCGGGGGTAGACATGCTGTGGTATACCCGCACAGGATAGAGCCTATCCAATAAGGAGTAAAACTAAAGGCACATGTGAGGATAGGTATGTGATAGGTGACCAGCAAGAAACTCTCTACTCAGAATCTAGGAAACTCCGGGGGGATGTCTTGATGGAAGAAACCAGCAAAATAGGTATGCTTGTTGGGGGGGCTCATATCCGGCTTCCCGATGTCAGCGACATTGATAAGCTGGTGTGGTGCAATAGGGCCCGGGAAGCAAGAGAGGAGGTTTGGACAGGGGGTGATAACGCTGTCCCTAGCTTAGCCGTCGAGCACGTCGCGGATGCGGAAAGCAGAAAAAAACTGCACTGAGGTGTGCCATAAGTGCAAACAGTACGAGTACACGTAGAGCATTAACTGCGGACGTCCGTCTTCCATCTGGGTGGCGCATCGTTGCTTTCCTGTAATTTCTCCCATCTGGGTTGGGGCGGGGTGGAGAGCCAGGACTATGGTAGACGTCCTAAGCCATATTTCTCTCGCCTAGGTAAGTTCCATGCTCACACTATTGTCAAGAACAGTACCCCTTTCCAGAATAGCGCCCACACCTCCCTCTCGGCCCACATCAGTGCCGATCCACCACCAGAGAAATCTCCGACTTCAACACTTGCTAACCGCATGGGATACACTACTACTCATACTGTCTCCTCGGAGGCCCGGTAATCGGACCAAGAAGACAATGGCATGTAATAGCCTTGACGAATTCCGCCGGGAAAATGGGGAGCCCACGCCAGAGCTATACATGAGAGTAACAAACTCTCTGTAGAAGCAGGTATCTTAAGCCCAACACTACGGGTGAAAAGATCAAACACCGGGGAAGCACGCCCTTCCAACAGACACAGAAACCGCAATATAAGGGATAATACCCAACTCTCGATTTATCCACCAACCAGTACTCCACCCTGATTTAAGAAGAGGAAAAAAAAGCATTGGCGGGGAGGGCCATCGGATTTTCTATCAAATGAAAGAGAACTCAGGTTTTCCCATGGAGTGAGCGTGAGGTGGCGGTGACTTACGCTGTGCTAGCACTTGCAGTGCTACCGCATCTCCTACTTAAGGGCAGATACTACACTGTATCGTGCCAGCTCACGCCGTGTATAATGGAGTAACCCCATCGCGGTATGTGAGTCTAGGGCATACTGAGTTGAGTTGAAGCAGTCACTAGGATGTATGTGACTTGTTCTTCTGATGTTTGTATGATGGCTAACCCTCTACAAGCATAGCCATCACATGTTGTGCCTAGTTGTGGTTTTGCTTTCTTTCTTTCTTTCTTCATGTATGTTATGCCACCTCGAACATAGCTTCTGCATCTCCCATCAGTTTCCCATTGGTGTTCTTTTCTCCTCCACCCCCTTTTTTCCTTAGACTCGGCCAGTCTTCCACACAGCACTGCTATCAGTGCACTCCTATTGTGTCCAAGGCACAAGAGCTCAAAATTCTACCCAGCTGTGATGCCTCGCTAGAGTGTAGCACAGGTAGCATTGGGAAATGGTACGGGTGGTGGGCTAACGCTGTGTTCACAGGCTATTATTCAGCCAAAAGTGTCGGTGGAGGAGGACAGTGTATGGCCGGAACTGGGTTTCTCTTAAAAAGGACAGTGGGGGAGACGGCTGTATAAGCTGGTATTGGATACTGAGGGCTTTGAGCGACCAAATTCTATCGCTCCCATCTAAAAATTCCAAAAAATCGCATCCCCATCGTCGCCGCCTCTTTCTCCAATGGACTGGCTACCCTCCTGTACTGTGTATTACATTCTCTCAGACTTAACTCCCCTATCTCCATCTGCACCAGGATTCATCAATCTGCGTGCCAGAATCATCTACCTGGGATCCGACATAATAGCCTGAAGGCCAACCTTCACGGCTTATCA